AGGAAAATAGGCTTACCCGAATTTCGCCAATAAGACTTTCGCCAACTAGACATTCGCCAATGGCGAAAGTCACCCGAGTATATTGGCGAAAGTAAAGTGGATTTTCGCCAATTGGCGAAAGTCACCGGGATACATTGACGAAAGTACAGTGGACTCTCACCAATTGAAAAAAGTTCGATGGACTTTTACTAATTGTAACAGAAGAAAATAAATGTTGGATATGAGCGAGGAGAATGGGTGTCAGCATCTATCTTGGTGCTGCCTATTAACCCACATGTTACACTGATGAATGCACATCAGACTCTCGCCAATTGACGAATGTCCTGGACATGTAATGGCGAAAGTATAGTGGACTTTCGCCATTGGCGAATGTCCTGTTGGCGAAAGTCTTATTGGCGAAATTCGGGAATCCCGGAAAATAGTCCGTCGTCTGCTCTTTCAAAATTGATAAAAGTTTTTCCTGAAAATCTCATTATTCCTAGAAACTTTTCACAATTTCAGGGAACTACTTTTTGAAAAATCGGCGATTTTTTGAAATATCCAAAAATCTTTTTCGTTATCTCATACGCGCATTCCAAATTTCTCTGTAATGGTTTGCTCTTTTTTGCTTGAAAGAACATGTCAAAATGTAGAGCACCACATCGCCTTTTTTTGAAATACCCTTTTTCTTGAGTCAACATGAAGTCAGTGATATAATTTGGTTACCATGATTCGATGAATTTTTTAGTCATTGAACTTGTGATCTTTATTTTCGATTAAAAAGGAGATATTTCAAAACAAGGGCGACCTGGTTACCTGAATCTTGACACATTCTTTCCAACAAAAAATAATATTAATAAATTGAACGAACCAGTACAGAGAAATTTCAGTTGCCAAATTAGCTATTTTTCGACCTTATTTGGTTAGTGGAATAGTTTTGGACTGAAAATTTTATCATAGACTCTACTTAATGTCTCCAATGTATTCTCCGAATTTCAGTTCGTTCCAACGCTCTTGAGCCGAGATCAGTTTTTAAAGTAGGAGAATGGGATTTTCGTAAGTAATTATTATCTCTCGAATTCTTTTGCACGAAAAACTTTAGTAATCAATGTTTCAAATGTGTTCTTAGACGAATAGAATGAATTGATTTAGTCTATTTAAAAGTTCCATTAGGAAAAATAAGAAGAAAGTTTATCATCTATAGACAAAAGAAACTCTTTGAATCAATTTCCTTGTGTCTAGAATCATAATAATAATAATAAAGAACTTCTCTTTCTTAGGATCGAAATACATTTCAACGTTTCGATCGTTTTAATGCAAATTATAATCCTGTTGGTAAAATGATGTTACGGTAAACTGGACAATTCTATTTATTTTATGTATCAATATTTAGTTTTGTTTTTGTAGAGAAATTTTTATGAAAACTGATAATTATATTGATGGCCTATTTTTTGCTGAACTATTACAAGTATTATATTCCCTTTCTCTCTGTACAAACAAAAATAAAAGTTATCTCTAAATTTTCTTTTTTTTAAGGAAGTTATTGCTGATTTAGAAGCGAGTAAATATCAACACGCAGAACTTCGTTTGTCAATTCAAGGTAAAAGTATTGATGAATGGGAGAAATTAGCTACATGGTTTTTAAAAAATAAAATGCATTCAACTAATGTTAGCTATATGATACAAATACCACGTATTTAGTATGTTTTATTAATGAAAAAATTTAGAAGAAAAAAAGGTTTAAATTGTTTTAGTAATGTTCATCATGCAAATGGTAAATTAAAAAATTTTCAAGAACTTTTAACAAATCTTTTTCAACCATTATTTGATGCAACTATCAATCCTGAATCACAGCCAGATTTATTTCGTTTTATGCTTCTTTTTACTGGCTTTGATTCAGTTGATGATGAATCAAAACCTGAAAAATTACTAATTGAAAATAATATGGTGTGTCCCGATCAATGGGATACAAATGAAAATCCACCTTATGCCTATTATTTAGTATAAAATTTGTAATAATATTTTATTTTTCTTTATTTTTTGAATATATTTAGTTTTATATGTATGCAAATATTCTTACACTTAATCAACTTCGAAGGTTAGAAATCGAATAAATTCTTTTTTTTAGATGAAATAAAAAATTCTTTATTATATTTAGATCACGTGGTTTAAATACGTATCAATTTCGTCCACATTGTGGTGAAGCTGGTGATGTATCACATCTTACTGCAGCATATATGTTTGCAGAAAATATTTCTCATGGTCTTGTTTTACGTCAAGTATTTTGTTTTTCTTTACATATATATACCGAATGTCCCAAAATGTTTGCACACTTTTTATTTGACATCTATCTCAACATAGATAAATGATAAACACCTTGATTTTTTTT